ATTTACGTCATTTACGGAACCGATTTTTGTGATAAAATCTTGTGACTCGTTTTTTTCACTTTTTTTTAGGCCCACGCTGCCTAAAAAAAAGTGAAAATATTTTTCTGGTCACTGCTTCAACTTTTTTTCAATATAAAAATTTGTAGACGTAGTTTTGTGGAGTTTCTTTTTAGAAACATATATACACATAGATACTTTTTGGAAAGAAGAGAAGCTGATCTTTATTTTTTTAAAACTTTTATGTATGGTTACTAAACTTTTTAACGGATTATTTTGCTCCTGAATATTTGGTTGATGTTTTCACATAAATTTGTAGTCGAAGGCATGAAGTTTCCGCTTTTTTGATTGTTCAGCCACCTTTATACATGTATTTTCTATTTATGTGCCAAATTTCAACGAAAAATATTAGGGAGCAGATATGTAACGAGGTGCTTTTTTAAATATACTGCTTTTTTGAAGTAGGGTTAGACTAACGTTTTTAGTGGTGTTTTTTTTTAGAAACATATATAAACAAAAAGTATATTTGGAAAGAAGAAAGGTTAGGCTTGATTTTTATAGTACTTTTATTTATAACCACTAAACTTTTTTATGGTTAGTTTTGCTAAAAACTTTCATGAAAATTTCGTTGATGTTCTCACATTAAGTTCTTATCGAAGGAATGAAGTTTCCGCTTTTTTTGTTATTTAGGAACTTTTTTGCATGCATTTTCTTTGAACATGCCAAATTTCAGCCAAAAATATTAGTGAGCAGATAGTATAAGAAGTGTAGGACTTTTGGTACCTAAATTCGGTTTTTTTTGTTTTTATTTTTGTTTTATCGGTTAGAGAAATACGGGGAGGATAGGGGGTGGCGAATGGTAAACAAAAAAATTCTTACTACATTGTATTATTTAATTTTTAATATTAAATTATTATAATAAATAAAAAATGGTAAAAGTCATAACAAAGAAGACTTCAAAAAGTAAGTTAATTTGTTTTTCATGATAATAACAAAGTTTGTTTACATCATCATGATGTAAACAAAGATTAAGGTTTTTAAACTTATCATTATTGTTTTGTTTTTTAAAAAAGTTATAAGTTTTAAAACATTAATCTTTGTTTACATATCATCATCATGATGATATGTAAACAAAGATTAAGGTTTTTAAACTTATAGTATAAGTTTAAAAACCTTAATCTTTGGTATAAGTTATACCAATGATATATTAAAAAAGATTAGGATTTAAGATTAAACCGTTACTTTGGAATATTTTATTATCAGATGCCAATGTTGTTAATACACCATATATATAAAAATATACAAATGACATTATTATACTTTAAAGTAAAACTTTATTGGCTTAAGCCAATACAGTTTTTGACAAAATATTTTTAGAATAATATTATTAATGATAATTTTAAAATAACATTATTATTTTTTTAGAATAATATTATGATTTTATTGATATTTTAAGAATAATATTATTATTGATATTTTAAAATATTATTATTATTGATATTTTTATACGAATAAGCTTATTATTAATAAGCTTATTTTTGTAAAATTATAATGATACTTTTACAATAATATGTTTATTCTAATAAAAGTATCTTGTTAGTGTTTTTCTAATATACAGTAATATAATTTTAAAATACAGTAATACAATTTATGTTTTTTATTATTTTTTTTATTGCTTTATTTTTAGTTACATAGGTTGTTGTACGTAAAGCAGAACTGATTTGATAACTGTTAATTTATTGACTGTTGACAATTTCAAGATGTTTTTTTTTTTTTGATTATATAACTTTTTTGTTATCTTTAGGCCAATTTGCACAGACTACAGCTGGTAAGTTATTATAGCATAACTTTATTTAACCATTAAATAAATATAAATAAATATGCATTTCTTACTTATTTATTTATTACTTGTCGTGTATGGATTTCCCATTTGCTGCAATATTAATTTTTTAATTTTAGTATCTACCTCTTGTACTACACCTGGTAAGTTACATAACTCTTAATTTTTAATTTGCAAACTTTACAATATGTTTAACTTTAGTTCCTTAGTCAGCTGCTGCAACTAGTAATTTAAAAAAATAATAAATTTAATATGTGTATGCATTTCTCGTTATTTGCAATATTGATTTTTTGTTACAATTTTGTAATTTTAGTATCTACCTCTTGTGCTACACCTGGTAAGTTAAACAACTATTAGTTTTTAATGTGCAAACTTTATAATATGTTTAACTTTAGTTCCTTAGTCATCTTTTGCAACTAGTAATTTAATAAACTATTACATTTAATATGTATATACATTTCTTGTTATTTGCTATATTGATTTTTTGTTACAACTTTGTAATTTTAGTATCTACCTCTTGTGCTACACCTGGTAAGTTAAACAACTATTAGCTTTAATATGCAAACTTTACAATATGTTTAACTTTAGTTCCTTAGTCATCTGCTGCAACTAGTAATTTAATAAACTATTACATTTAATATGTATATGCATTTCTTGTTATTTGCAATATTGATTTTTTTTTACAACTTTGTAATTTTATTTTAAAATAGTTAGTATAATAATTAAGTCAAGTTTTGTGGCTTGCAAATAGGTACAGCAAGTTTTGTGGCTTGCAAATAGATACAGCAAGTTTTGTGGCTTGCAAATGTGTACCGCAAGTTTTATGGCTTGCAAATAGGTACAGCAAGTTTTGTGGCTTGCAAATAGGTACAGCAAGTTTTGTGGCTTGCAAATAGGTACAGCAAGTTTTGTGGCTTGCAAATAGGTACAGCAAGTTTTGTGGCTTGCAAATAGGTACAGCAAGTTTTGTGGCTTGCAAATAAGTACCGCAAGTTTTATGGCTTGCAATTAAGTACCGCAAGTTTTGTGGCTTGCAAATAGATACAGCAAGTTTTGTGGCTTGCAAATAGGTACAGCAAGTTTTGTGGCTTGCAAATGTGTACCGCAAGTTTGGTGGCTTGCAAATAAGTACTGCAAGTTTTGTGGCTTGCAAATAGGTATAGCAAATTTTGTGGCTTGCAAAAAAGATAGACGGCTCTGGCTTACCTACACGTGGTGTCTATTGTTAAAAATGATTTATTTAGTTGCATTGTAACTTAATTTAAATCATTTACTAAAAGCCAAGACATAAATTAATTACTATGTTTCGAAACATTTGTTTGTTTTTTTGTTTGTTTTTTATAAGGTTGGTTGGTTAAATATGATCATTTAAATGAGAAAATGTATACTCGTGCAATCTGGTAAAACAATTCTGTATTGTGCTTTCTTTTTTTAATAATTGCATACGAAAATGTTGAAAATATCATTTCTATGTGTTTTCTTTTTTACGTTGGTTGAGGGGAAGGGGGAAAACCATCCCTCTCCTCAAATTGTACACCACTAATGTATGTTATATAGAAAAAAAAAATATTGCTTCATGTAATACAACAATATTTTCAATACTAATGTATGTTGTATAGTTATAAAAGATTATTTTTTCTTTTTAACAATACATTTGATTATTGAAATAAAGATGACGTTATTTTTTGTCAGGTAGGGGGGGGGGGAGGTGGTGCATTAGACTTCCTTTATTTAAAGTCAATGTGTACATCAATAATATTTGTTGAATAGTAATAAAATATTATTTTTACTTGTTAACATTTAGTTATTGTAATAAAGATTTAATTATTTTTATTTTTTGTTATGCGTTGGGGTGGGGGCGGGGGCGAGGGGCGGTGCGACATACGCCCTTTCCTAAAGTTAGTGTGCACATCACTAATGTATGTTGTATAGTAAAAAAATATATTTTTACTTTTTTACAAAATATTTAATTACTGTAATAAAGATTAAATTATTTATTAGAATGTATGATTATTGTATTAGGGTGTTATAACATCATAACTACATCTACGGCCAACTCTAAGATCACCTTATTTTGTTTGGCAGTGTTCTGGAATCAAGTTATGGCAATATTTTATGTATAAAATCTAACAATTACATTAAAAAAGTGCTTTTTTTGACAAAAACTTGTATTTTCTTAAGGGTTAGATGGTGTTTCATTACCCCCTCTGGCTCCTAAGATACACACTACGTCCAGGCACCTATATAAACTTGTAGCCGATTAGTGCACCTATCTTTTGATACCAAGATATAGGTATTTGTATAAAAATTGACAAAGTTATAATAATTTAAGTGAAAAAAATAATTATTTTGACCACAGTTTCTTCAACAATTCGATATATCTTAAATTTGGTACTAAAAACGTTATAACTTTTTTTAGAATTGTTCGTTTTTAATAATTTTTTCACCTTTAAAATACTGTATTAAAGGCCTTTCTAATGATATATAACATTGTACTATATGATTAATTTAAAAATTTCAGTGCGCGTACCTAATATATATATATATATTTATATATATATATATATATATATATATATATATATATATATATATATATATATATATATATATATATATATATATATACATATGTATATACATATACATACATACACACATATATGTATATGTGTGTGTGTAATAATACACATTATGTGTGTTTATTATTTTACACATATAATATATGTTTGTATATATATATATATATATATATATATATATATATATATATATATATATATATTTATATATATATATATATATATATATATATATATATATATATATATTATATATATATATATATATATATATATATATATATATATATATATATATATATATATATATATACATATGTATATACATATACATACATACACACATATATGTATATGTGTGTGTGTAATAATACACATTATGTGTGTTTATTATTTTACACATATAATATATGTTTGTATATATATATATATATAGATATATATATATTAATATATATATATATATATATATATATATATATATATATATATATATATATATATATATATATATATATATATATATATATATATATATATATATATATATATATATATATATATAAGGTACGCGGATATCGCGATTTACGGAAGCGATTTTTATGCTAAAATTTTGGTTCTCGTTTTTTTAATTTTTTTTTTTAGGCAGCGTGAGGCAGACGTAGTTTTGTGGAGTTTCTTTTTAAAAACAGATATACACATAGATACTTTTTGGAAAGAAGAAAAGCTAATCTTGCTTTATTTAATAAATTTATGTATTGTTATTACACTTTTTTGTCGATAATTTTGCTTCTGAATATTTGGTTGGTGTTCTCACATGAATTTGTAGTAGAAGAAATGTTGATCCGGTTTTTTTTTTTATTCAGACAATTTTCTACATGCATTTTCTATGCACATGCCAAATTTCAACGAAAAATAATTGGTAGCAGATAGTTTAAAATGTGTTATATTACGTATACCACTTATTTTAGGTAGCTTTAGGCAAACGTTTTTTGTGTGTTTCTTTTAAGAAACATGTATAAACATAAATTATTTTCATATAGGAGAAAGGTTGATCTAGATTTTTATATGACTTTTATGTATGGTTACCCAACATTTTTATGGATTATTTTGCTGACAATATTGCATGAAAATTTCGTCCCTGTTCTCACATTAATTTGTTGTCGAAGGAATGTTGATCCGGCTTTTTTTGTTAGTTTTTCTACATTTTATATGCATTTTCTTAGCACCTGCCAAAAATCAACGAAAAATAATTGGTAGCAGATAGTATACTTAGTGTTGGACTTTTGGTACATAATTTTGGTTTTTCTGTTGTTTTTTTCGTTAAGCTTAATACGGGGGTGGATAGACTATACAAAGTGGCCGACTATACAAAAAAAATAACAAATCCTAATATCGTATTATTTTGATTTTTATTATTAGATTAAAATAAAAAATGAATTCTGACAGAAGTTTTATTGAATCTATAACAGATGGTAAGTTTAATTTTTTTTATAATAATATCAATAATAACTATTTAAAATCAAAAAATATTCATAAATCATTTATGAATATTTTTTGATTTAAAATTCTTTTTTATGTAACATATAATTTATCTGTTTTTATATGATATAAAAACAGATTAATTTTTAATCTGTTTTTATATGTTACATAAAAAAGAAGATTAATGCTTCGATTTAAAACTTTGCTTTTGAATGTATTGTTAACTAATAGTATCTGTTGTCAATTTTATTATGACACAACATACAAATCAGATAATTCATTGGTTTATTCCTTGCAAAAGACTTGTTAGTAATTTTCAAATATAATAAAACTTATCATCTTATTATCATCTTTTATTATTTTTGGATTGTATACTTCTTTATCTGTAGATTATTATTTAAATCATAATACAAGCATGCCTAATGTTTACATGTTGTTTAGATCCTGCTCCACATTATGAAGCCTTTTTGAGATATCGTAAATATAAATCAAATATTTTATATATAACCACAACCAATATAACCTAAATAATATATAAACAAAGTGATTAACTATTCCTAATGTTAGCTTGTTGTTTATTAATATATTTTCTTTACATTTTCACTGTTAGTTTTCATTATGTTAATACAGTTGTTGCATCTTCCACAGAATTATGATTTCTTTTTATTTCATAGTGTTTTGTTGTAATTATACACTTTTTTTTTATTTTTAGTTCAATCTACCCAGCCTATTTTATTTATTTTTATTACTTTTTTTATCTTTAGCAACATCTTCATCTGCAATGAGTGGTAAGTTTAGCAATTATTAATTTTTAATTTTTGCATTTCTTGACACTTCCAAATTAATTTTTTATTAAAACTTTTTAGCTCTAGTTCCATCCTCAATTGCATTGAGTGGTAAGCTTAAAAATATTTTTATTGCATCCTTCAAAAAACCTGTTCATGTATATATTTCGGATCAATTGCAATATTTATTTTTTATTACACTTTTTTTTAACTTAGTTCCATCTACATCTGCAATAATTGGTATGTTTACAAACTTTCACTTTTCAATATGTTTATGCATTTCTTGGCAATCACAATATTTATTTTTATTTCAACTTTGTTAACCTTTAGTTACATCTTCAGCTGCTACAAGTGGTAAGTTTATAAACTATTTTTTTCTAATATGTGTATGCATAATATACATGTGTAAAAGTATTGTTTCTAATATGTGTATGCATATCTTATCGATAGCAAGTAAATTGTAATTTTATTTTTAAAAAATTTTACCTTTAGTCCCACAAACTCCACAACAACTACAGATTTAGGGTCCAGCACCCTAGACTGATTAGTAATCGGTCATTTTTGCGGTACCATTTTTCAAATATCTTTTAACATTTTTTTTTTAGGTTGGAGAAGACTGAGAGGAAGGAGGGGAGGGGCATTAAGGGTGGCATCGTCCCGCCCCTAATTTCAGTTTATGCACCACTGTATATGCTGTTATATAAAAAAAATATAATTTAAACTTTTTAACACAAAATATAAAGTGTTAAAAAGTTGTTTTTTAGGTTCAAATATTTATAAGATGGTAACATTTCACTACGAGGGTGTTAAAACGTAACAAAGACATCCACCCTTTAATCTAAAATATACCACTAATATTTGGAAATGTAATGGAAGCAAATTAGAACAACTTTTTGTGTATAAAGATAACAAATTTTATCAGAAAAATACTCTTTCGTGTGAAAAAATTGCATTTTTTTAAGGTTACGATGGTGTTCCGATACCCCCTCTGGCCCTCTAGACACCCCTTTTATCTATAAAACTATGTGAACTTGTAGCCTACTATTACATCTATCTTTTGATACCAAGGTATAGGCATTTGGATAAGATTTGACAAAGTTATAACAATTTCAGTGAAAAATAAATAAATTTTGGAGCCAGTTTCTTCAAGAAATCCATATATCAAAAATTTGCTACTAAAAACGTCATAACTTTTTTTTTAAATTGTTCGTTTTAAATAATTTTTTCACCATTAAAATACTTTATTGAAGGGCTTTCTAATGATATATAACATTCTAGTATATGCTCAATTAAAAAAAATCAGTCCACGTACCTATATATATATATATATATATATATATATATATATATATATATATATATATATATATATATATATATATATATATATATATATATATATATATATATATATATATATATATATATATATATATATATATATATATATATATATATATATATATATATATATATATATATATATGTATATATATATATATATGCTTTTGGTACCTGAAATTTGCAAATATTATTTAATAATAATCTCTAAGCAATTTAACTTGTAGGATAATTTTTTTTATAATAATTTTAGTTTTTAGTTATGTTAATATTGATTAAATTTATCTGACTAAATATTTACAGTTAAACAAAAACTGCAAAGTGCAAAACATAAATAACTTTTCGAAAGGAATGGCGTTAAATCTGGAACATCTTCAACACATAAACTAATGAAGGAAACAGTTCTAAAAGTAGTTCTATATTATATTTGCAGGTTGATCATTATTTGTGTGATGGTTTTTTGACATAATTATCATAGATTTTTTACTAAAGTATACATAGCAAAAGTTTCATCTGCAACCAGTTTTTGCACAACTTATGTTAAAGAATTGTGCAAATCTTGTATTGAAGCTATTTTTAAAATTACCAACTCTTGTTTGTGAATGACACAAACAATTAATGAAAATGAAGCTTCTGGGAGATCACAAATGCTATTATTGAAATATATCATTAAGAGCAAGAAATCAAACAAAACATTTTAGACAGATAAACATGTGAAATTTTATGGAAAAATTTTAGGGAATTATTATGTTTTTTATTTCTGGTACACCATACATAGTGCAGCAGAAATAAAAAGCAAAACAAAGACATTTCATTTTTTATTTCTGTTACACCATAGCAGCATAAGCTTTAAAAAAGGATTAAAGAAATATATTTTGTTACACTACATTATCTACTTGTTAATATAAGACTGCTTTGTATTAAAATATAATAATACTTAATATATGTTATTCATAATTTAAGCCCTTAATATATATATATATATATATATATATATATATATATATATATATATATATATATATATATATATATATATGTAGTTAGTAAGTTTTGCTCTAACTGTCTCAGTAAGCCAGTTATATATATATATATATATATATATATATATATATATATATATATATATATATATATATATATATATATATATATATATATATATATATATTTATATTGTTTATATATTTTACTGTTACATCCAGTATCAGGAATTAGCTAAATTACTAATATTTATAATATAAGAACGAAATTTTTGGTACTAAAAATTAATTTTGCTTTTCTTTTTTTGTTACTTGCATGATAGCTGTGATAATATGCAGCCGGGGCGCAGTTTTATATGCAGCCGTGGCGCAGTGGTTAGAATTCTGGCTCAGAACCCAAAGGTCCGAGGTTCGACGCCATCTCTAGCCCAACAAGCGACATTGGTACGGAAGGAGGCGTGAACTTCCTGTTAAATGCTCTCCCGCGGTGCTCTATGATAAGACCGTAAGGACTTCTGGGAGCACCTAAATATATACAAAAAAAAAATATATATATATATATATATATACTTGTTTGTCAACTTGCTTCTCGTGCAGCGGACTTGTTCATGTTTCGGAGTTATAGAAAGAGTTGTAATCACAAAAGTAGCCTCCTTGACTGTAGTCGGTGTAGAGGTGAATAATTAAATTTAAATATATATATATATATATATATATATAAATATATATATATATATATATATATATATATATATATATATATATATATATATATATATATATATATATATATATATATATATATATATTTTACAAACAAATATTAGCAATTTAGCTGATTTCTAGTTCTGCAGGTAAAACTAACATAAAAGTGTTTATAATCAAAATACAATGTTAGCAATTTTGATTTTATGTGGCTTTTTAAATATTTAATTCAACACATGATTGGAACCGTAATTGCACTGTATTATTATTAGCTTATTTATTACTAAGATAAATTTTTAAATTTATTTAGCTATATGTTATTATTTATTATTAATTTTATTAAAGTTACCTAATATTTTTTAATCCAGTTAGAGCATAAAAATAAAATTGTTCACACTGCGTTTTGGTGATAAATACTTCATACTTAAAAGTTCGTCCCAAAAGCAATATTTAAAAAAAATATAGCGGCTACCTCCTAATGTGTTTTATATGATAAAAAAACACTGGTTTTAAAATTTTTTTGAAGAAAAAATATTTTTGGAGTCCTTTAAACATATAACGAGTTCCTAATAGTATCAATAAAAAAATCTTTAAAAGTATCTTCAAAAATCTAAAAATTTTTCTTCGCCAAAAAATTTTTTGAATAAAAATTTTTTTTTGGAGTCCCTCAAGACCCTTAAACATAAATGAGTTTCTAATATTATCAACAAAAAAAAATCTTCTAAAGTGTATCTTGACATTTTATCTCAAATTAAGCGAAATCATGAAAATTAAGCAAAATCATGAAAATTTCAAATATGGTAATTATGTTATAAAAAAATTATTGAAAAAAAATATTGCAAAAAATTGGTAAAAATTCACTATTTTTTTTTTTAGGTAATAAACTTCATTTTTTATGGTGTTAAATTATTTAATATTAAGAACTTGTTATGTTCCTTGGGGTCTAAAAGGAACATAACAATTCCTAAGGGTCTTGAGGGAGTCATCAAAATATTTTTTATTCAAAAATTTTAAAAAATGGTGTTAAATTGAAATTTTCATATAATTTTGCTTCATTTGAGACCCAACATGATACACTTAAATAATTTTTTTTTTAATATTAGGAACTTGTTATGTTCCTTGGGGTCTAAAAGGAACATAACAAGTTCCTAAGGGTCTTGAGGGAGTCATCAAAATATTTTTTATTCAAAATTTTTAAAAACCAGTTTTTTTTATTATATAAAACACATTAAGCATATATTTTTCAAAAATGTTTTTTTTGGGAAAACCTTATTAGATAATAATAATTTTTAATAAACTATAATTAACTTGAGATAAATATGTTTTATATTGATGATATTTTTCTTGTCATCGCTTCAACTTTATTTCAATATAAAAATTTACTTTTACTGTTATGACTTTTTCCTAATATATTTAAGTGTTTTTTACTTTTATTATTTTTGTTACAATAACAAAATAATTAATGAAATCGCACTTTGATATATAAAGAAATAGTCATAACAGTAAAAACAAATTTTTATATGGAAAAAAAGTTGAAGCATTGACCAGAAAAATATCATACATAAAGAACATATTTATCTGAAGTTTAAAAAAAAATATTGAAATCCTACAGTCAGATTTTTAGAAAATTGATTTCAAATAAATAAACGAATCTATGATTTACACTAAAAAGGTATTAAATAAAAATAAAGTTTAAACGCGCAAAGATTTTTGTTACCTCTATTTATTTATATTTTTTTGTGAAATTTTTGTATTTTTATATTGATTTACGTTAAACATAAGGCTACATCATTGGCTTTTCAGAAATTAATTAACAAATAATCTGTTGACATATAAAATATTCTCTGTAGTTAAGAATCGTAGCCATTTTAAAAGTTCAAAAGTTTTTCGTACTTTCTTACGCATGCGTACCTAAACATAGCGCTTTTTACTGACCGTGAAATTCGTGTTTACCATGAACATTACTGAAACTGAATAATATTTCTTTTACGGGACTAGTAGTGAAAGTTAGTGGTGAAAAGTTTAATATTTATGGCAAATTAGGAGGGAATTAGAAGTGTTTTAAGTTAAAACTGTTGCTTTTTAGTCGGGTACAATGGGCAGTCGGGGAACAGTTAATGATCCCTAGTGCTACTTGACTATAAAGGCTTCAACCAGGGCCGGCGCGAATAGGTGTCACGTGGAGGGGGGTGCCGTTACATTTTGCCGACTAAAAAAAAAAAAAAAGCTCCTCGTTTTCCAAAATTTGCCAACTGCCATGACGACATTTGCCGACGGTCTAGATTACCGACTAACCTATATCGAAAGGGTCGACATTTGCCGACTAACAAGTCTAAAAAGGTCCAAATTGCCGACTAAAAATCATTGATAGGGGGTGTTACACCCCCCCTCCCCCACACCCCTATCGCGCCGGCCTTGGCTTCAACAATTGCGAGATAAATAACTTAGTTTTTACCATGAAGAAACAGTTTCAATGAATTAAAATAGCTTAACTACCCTTAGAATATGATAAATTAAAAAAAAAACACCAATATTGCTTGTATTAAGCCACTTTGACTCGATTGTTTAGCGGTTTTGATAAAGGTAACATAAGGGTCAAAGTTCTGCTGCTATCACGTTTATAGTAGTAGTAGTAGTAGTTGTTGTTGTTGTTGTTGTTGTAGTCGTTGTTGTTGTTGTCGGTGTTAACAGTTTTACTTTTACTTAAAAATTGCATGGCACCAACATCTCCTAATTTTAATTTCTAGCATTTATTTGCCGTTCTATAAAGTCTTTTGTTAATTAAATAGTGTTAAAACTTTATCAAACAATTCGCCATGGTAGCCGAAGTGGTTAGCTTGCAGCGTTTCTGAAGTGCATTGCCGCGATTCAAATCTTTACATTTGTATTTTTTTATTTTTTTTTTATTTTTTAAAATACAAAATAAAACCTTTTTGAAGTTCTATAAATACAATATAAAAAAATAATATATAAAGATATTACAAACTATAATAAACGGAAGGGAGAGAATTTTGAAAAAAGCTTAAAATTTCTAAAGACATCAAAACAGCGGGGGAAATTTGTTGCGCTTATGTCCACTATAGAGATACTAACGTTATTAATGTGCTAAGGTAATTAGTCTTAATAAGCTGCGGATTGTCAGAAAAAAATTTTCAATTAGATGATACATGTTGTATGCTTAAATTTAGGTAATTGATATCATAAAATCAAATCTGGCCATATTTGGTCTCCAGGAATTACATGATTATATGAAAATCATCATTTACATGATGACTGTTGAATGTATGAAAATTGTAATTGCAACTGTTTAATCAGCAAAATAAAACTTTATATAGAAAAAAAAAAGAAAAAAGGAGTGGTTACGATTGTACAGTTAGATGTGGTCATGGGTTGTCAAGACAACCCACGACCAAACCTACCTGTAAATAACATAAATAAAAATCACCTACGTAATTTTTTATTTACGGATACTACGGATTTTTTTAGACAGTGTTGGTCCTAAATGAGTGAAATATTTGTTAAATTCTTGAGCTAAAGTTTTTGGTTTGACTTTAACCATTTGTGGCAGAAAACCGAAGCATGTTTTTTTTTTGCCAATAATTTCTTTTATTATTTTCCACGTGCGCTTGGTGTCGTTTTTAAATGTATCGAATAATTGGGAGTAATAATTTTTCTTTAAGTTTTTGCGAATTTTTTCAAATAGGTTTTTTTAGTTCTTATAGATTTTTTTGCTTGAAGCTTTTTTTGTTTTTAAAAAAATTATGTATAACTTTTGTTTTATTCTGGATGATTTTTTAAAACCTTTAGTAATCCAGGGTGTATTGATATTCTTAGTTGTTATTGTTTTTTCTACTATTGGGAAATTAACTTCATAAAAAGAAAAAAAATATTTTGAAATAAGTATCATAAATATTATTTGCGTTATCATCAAAATTTATGTTTTTCAAATGCAGTAATGATATTCGTTCTTTAAATAAATTAATATTAGCCTCATTATAAATGAGTTTTCTTATCATTTTTTTTCTTATCATTTTTTTTAGGGTCTTTTAAAATAAAGTAAGCCGGTAAGACGTGTTTCTTCGAGCGTAAGTTTTACAGAAGTTTTTCAGAAGTTTTTAAATTTTTATTTTCGTATTCTTTTTAATTCTTTCCTCTTATTCTTTTTTCTAACACTTCTAATCTTCCTATATCATTGTTAATCACTTCTAAATCTTCCTATATCATTGTTTCATAAATATTAGCTTATTAATTATTGCTACTTTTAAATCATA